GATGCGGATGATCCTCTTCGAAGTTTGAGTCATTTGCACTAGTCGAAGAGTGAAGGTCGATGTGGGCGGTCTGCTCATCCATCCAACCATCATGATCCAACTGCTAAGTCACAAGCAGTCAAGCATGGAGTTGATTCGTTGTCGCCAATTCCTTTGGAAGTGAGGTTGGCAGAGGCTAGCAAAGCAAAAGAGTCATCTACCTGGGCGAAAGGTTCTTCTGCAATGTCAGGGGCTGATCTAAAGGTGGACAAGTCCAGCCCTGTAGGGGATGCAGGCATGTCTGATCTGCTCAAGACGCACTTTCTATCAAGTCCATCCGCTTGTGCTGAGCTGGTTGATCAAATCCGTTAGGCTGGCGATCTGGGTACTTTTTCAAGTCTTTCCTTGGAAAAACAAAGGGAAGCAACATTTCATCTGTTTCAAAAATGAGTAGTTTTTTCTCCTGAGACAATTCGGAACTCGTCTGTTGTTGCCCTCTCTTTTGCTCAGCTCAGTGAGTTGGATAAGAAGAATGCTGAGCTAGTTAGCAAGCTTTCTGCCGAGCAGACCCGTTGTGAGAAGAAGACGTCTGATTTGACGGCGATGATATTTGAGCTAAAGAGTTCCCTTGCTGAAAAGGATTCCGAGCTTAACTCTTCTACTGTTGACTTGGCTAGTCGAAAAGATGCTTACTTTCATCTTGAGCACATGAGTGTCAATATCTCTCATAACTATGACAAGCTTTTGGCTAGATTTCGCGCCTATCATAAGTCTGCTGAAGAATCCAATTCCGAATCTACCATGGATGCATACAAGCTGGGCTACTTAGACTGTACAAATGGAAATGATCCCTTCTATGCCATTGGAGATGAAGACATCGAGATGCTCTGTCCTGACTTGCTCCCTGTGCAAAGTGAGCAGGTTAATGTTATGAACATGGAAAGAGCTGAAGAGCTGGTGGCTGAAGAGGCAGTAGCTGAAGAGCATGGAGCATAGGAGGATGCAGCTGATGAGGTGGTGGCAGACGTCATAAATCAGGCATGTGAAGCTGCTGAGAGCATGGCTGATTAGGTGGAAGCTGAAGAGGCTACAGATCAGGGATCTCCTGCTAGCATTTCGGAGTAGACGAAGACTCCTTTATTTCTTTTCAGATTTTGTAGTATGCTTTTGGTTTAGAATAATTGGTCATGTTTGACCATCTTCTTTTTGTTTGAACTTGGCTGGTTGGTCACTTTGCTATGGAAATTTCAGTTTTTATTTTTTCAACTTCAATTTACATATTATCTTGTGAACTGCTTGAGTAACCAGTTAGTGACTTGGCTCTACATTTCCCTTAGGCTTTTGGCAAAAGCCAAGGTCCCTCTTGAGGGACTTCGGGCGTATTCTGGATTTTTCGAAGAACGCTTAGGACACTTCTAGTCATTGCCCTGCGTCTCCCTTAGGACGCTGCACCCCTTTGGAAACGGATAGGAACCTAGATACCTCCATTAGGAAATTCATGGTTCCATAGGCATGCGGCTAGTGCTGTGAGATGAACCACTAAGTGTTTTCACCCCGCTCACAAACTGCACATCATAATGGCCTTCATCCCGATTCATAAAGCACTTCGAAAATAATAGTTGGTGTCCATCATTCTCAGAACAAGCAATCCTAGTATACTACAACTCCCTTTTCACCAATCAGTCTATGCTCAAGTGTACTTATGCCTAGTTCTCGAGTCCTAATCTTTTCACCAATCTATCTCTCTGGTAATTTTGTTCAAACATATATCTTCAATTGTGAAGTGTGATCTTATAAAATGATAAACTCACACACACATGATAAGAAATTTGAAAAAAAATACAGGCAATTCATATTCGAGGGCTTCTGAAAGTAGTCTTTTTTATGTGAAAATGTATAACCAGAATCTGATTTACAAGTTCACCTTAGAACATGAAAGATTAAGACACGTCCTACAAGCATCCCTTGCTAAGTGTTTCTTGAGCAAAGGAAGTACTTCACGGTATACTGATGAAATGCCTACTACAAGACCAATCATTATTTTCCATCTTAACCTCACCATTCTAAGTAGCTCAGAATTATAATTTTCAATCTTATGCATTTCATTTTGTGAAATTCATGCTACCTGTATCGAAATCGGCAATGTCAGCTTTGATGATCATGGGATCAGAGTGAGGAAAGATGATACCCTTTTCTTCTTCTTCGGAAAATGCGATTGGTTCCCATCCGATCCGTCAAATCTTGCTATAGTGTCCTTCAGTGACGCTGAGAACCTGTGGGTGCCGGCTGTCAAATGCTTGGTTTCTCGGGAGCCAGTCGCATACCAAGATATTGATCCAACTTGCCTTCGCTGATTAGGAGTTCGACAATTTTGTGAAGGGAAATGCACGATTCAGTGTCGTGGCCATTGTATTGATGATATCAGTAGAATACCCCCGTATCCTTGTCGCTTGGACGAGGAAGTTTCCTACTATCTAGCTTTGGTATCAGCTGATTTTCGTTTCCCAGGACGTACTCATAGGTCGTGTTAAGGAGGGTAAATACCTCGACTTGCCGATCCTTCGTGTTCTTGAAATTGAGTTGGCCTTCGGAGTCCTTGCCACATTTGTTCTCGTCCTACCGACCCTGAAAACTATCCCTCCTCTTTCCTCCCGCGAAAGGGGTGGACACCAGGGGTGTCGTTCGAAAGGGGGTGGGGCATTTTGTCTGGGTGGTTGGAAAGCGGTCGTGGGCTCGATCGATAGATGCCGATTGAGGGGTGGGCGCCGAAGGCTCTCCTTTTGCGTTGAAGTGTTCGGCCTTGGCGTATATTGCCTCCTGTTTCATTAATTCACCTTAGGTCATCCAGTTGTTGTTGTGGACCAAATAGCTCGAAGGCCGCTTCTGAATGTCGTGAACGATGCTGAATTTGGCTGCATATTCCCTTAAGGGTTCGTCGTCCTTTTGCCGGATGGTGCAGAGGTTGTCGGCAGAGTACAATCGATCGATCAGTCTGTATCATAAAATGATTGAGAAAAATCTGATTTAATTGATCGAAAGAGTCAACCGTACCTGGCCCCAGTCGGTAAAACTAGTTTATGGCGGCTCTGGCTAAGGTAGAGGGAAACAGCAGGCCTTGGCCCTCGTTGGTAAGTCCTTTGCACCCTAATGTCGATTGAAAGGTGTGTATGTGGGTGACAAGGTTCACTATTCCTGTGTAAAACGATATTCGGAGTTGTTGGGCATCCTTCTCATGTTTAAAGGTTCGAATTCGATCGGTGTATGGTCCCGACTAGATCTTGCCCTAAGTAGGCGTTCAAGATTGGTTCTGTTCTTCCTCGATCTGGTTGATCTTCTGGAGGAGGAGGCGGATAGTGGGATCGGCATGAGGCAGGTTGCCACAAAAGGCTTTTGTTCCCTAGGGAGCACCTGTCTGGTGACCTGTGGTTCGGTCAGAGGTCCGGGCATGATGGCTGCGCCGATCGTCCTCCAGTGTTGCCCGATTGTTCTGATGGCTAGATTGTCTGGGCTCTGCCGATCGATAGGAAGCCGTAGTCTCGGGAGAAGTTGCGACGTAGTCTGATTCGTCTGTTTCGTCCAGGCCGATTGTACTGTATCTTCGGAGGGGTGGGGACTTTGGTCCCAGATCGTTCAGACGCCGGTCGTCGTGCTTGGTCAGAACCTAGATCGGAGATTGTTGGCGCCCTCTGCATTGATCGTTGAGCCTGTCTCTACAGTCGAAATAGACTCAGTATTCTTGATGCCGATCGTTAGGGGAGGACACGAACAGTCGTCGGGAGGTGGAAGGTTTGGCTGCAGCTCGTTCCTTTTCCCTGCTGCGACCACTGGGCTTTGACACACTTTTATATGACTATTCCTACTGGAGGGCAGTGGTTCGTTCTGGATCCTCTCATAGTTGGGCCGAATGTGATTGCTGGTTGTAGAGTTCCCTCTGGGTGTCATCTAGTTTGGACGATAGGACGGTGTTGTGCTCCTGCATCTTCGTCATTTCTTGTTGTAAGGCTTCCATTTGGGCCTCCAATGTGTGTTGCAGGAAGGGTGTTTCCTTTCGGAGTGTGCTTGGTGGGGGAGTGGGGCTCGCTACGCCAGCCAAGCCGAGGATGGGACTATCGGTAGTCAGGGAAGTAGGTGGATTCATTTTTGCTCAAGAGAGATATGGGTCGATCGACGATCGAAGTTTCCCATAGATGGCGTCAATCTATTCGCGCTAAAACTAAACATATAGAGATAAGGCTAACTTACAGGTGAGGTGGATGGCTTGGACCCGAGGTGCCTTTGGTCCATTGCGTCCTTCCTCGAGGCGTGATGCTGGATTCGGCATGGCTCACTGAGCTGGTCTCAGCCTGGTTTACATTCCACGTGTCATGACGTGAGTGGGGTCATATATGGTACAAACAAGATGAAAGCTCCGATTTTTTTCCTTAAAAAACTTTAATATCCTAATTAGATTAATAGAAATCAAACTGCCTTTTTAAACAATGCTGCTGCCACTTGTGTTTCCATGAACCAAAACAAATCAGGAAAAGGAATTATACAAAGGGATGCTCTATTTTAATATGTAGAGAATTACGAATTTGGGTTCTGCCACTTGAGGATGTATATATACAGCTTTTAACTCATAGACTGTTTTGTTCTTATAATTTAGAAGAATACAAGTTGAAGAGAATATTGAAAAGACCAAATCATTATATAACCAACATTACTGGAGTCATAAGTTGAAGAAGAAACTAAAAACAATGATGCCTATGTTAACAGTATTCAACAAACAACGCAATTGTGCTCGTTTGTTTGTTGAATTCGCTGTTCGGCTTGTGGTAATATGAATGAAATTATCATCTATGAATTTGATTTGGCAGACCTTTTTATGAATGGAACATGGACAAATTAAGTGCCACACTAGCTATTTGATGATACGCTCAACAAAACTCGTTCATTTTCTTGGAAAAATCTCATTCTCAAATGCACCTTTCTAGACATGTTTGGGCATTACTTTATTAATCGTCAAAAGTCTACGTGCAGGCTCATTAACGATAGTGAACAGTTCATTGGAGAGGTATTTCATGGCATATTCTGAAGGGCGTGATTTCATGTTCTGCGACTTGTGCGGGACTACGCTAACATTGAGTTCAACTAAGCATGCTCAATGCCCCTTGTGCAAGCGTAAGATAAGTGTGAAAGGTAGAGGAAACTTGAGCTTTCAGCCATTCACGTTGACTTGCATGTTTAATCTATTTTCAAGTTTTAGATTTTATTTCAGATGACTTATGGATAAATAAATCCTCTCTGTATGCAGCAATGCATGTGAATGCATGCATGTATTCCCATGTCAGCACATGTGTGTTACTATATTTTAATCATATATGCTAATTCCAAATTGAATTTACTTTTTGGAATTGGTTTATATTCTAAATGTTATTTATGTTAATCATGTGTTGGTATTGGGCCTTGTATTCTTCTGAGCAGTACCATTTGTGCTACAAGTATTACTTCATAGTTTACAAACTTGTGTGGTACCACATTTGCCAAATTCACTGTGTTTGGATAGTTTGTTATGTATGGCATAAATACGATTTTCGTAGGTTTATAAATGACTCTTAAATATTAACCCTTAATATTTCCTCTCCTTGCTTTTGTATATTCCTAAAATGATTACCATTGTCTTCAGAGATCTCCGAAAGACAAATATCTTACACACCCACTGCTGAGGTATGCCCATGTTTCGTGACAAGTTCTTATGTCTTTCATAGGGATGTTATGAGAAGAAGGCTTTTCCATGACATTGGACCTAACAACACTGATTGGTTAAATGATCAATATCATTAGGTTATATTGCTTGCCTTTTATTTAATTGTTTTGCTTTTTTTTTATTGAATTTATTGTATTTCTTGCCTTTTATTTAATTAGTTATATTTCTTAATTAGTTGTATTGCTTTTTTTTAGTGAATAAAGAAATCATTCAATAAAATACTTTTTTATTCAACACATTGCATACATCAAACTAAAGCATAATTAAAAACAAAACACAACCAAAGCATAATTCAAAACAAAACACAAACAAACCATAATTCAAACAACGCTTACATCAACACAAAAACATAATTAAAAACAAAACATATTCACTTGACTTCATTCACCGTCATTGCCTCTCACCGCCCATAAGTGATCTATCAAGTCAACTTGACGCCGTTCATGAATATAAGACGATTGCATCTCCGTATATTGATCAATCCTATAGTTGTTGAAACAACCATCCCTAACCAACGGTTCATGCTTCAGTGGTTGTTCATTTGCTCCCATGGGCCTTTCAAAAATTCTTGTCAATGTCGTGTTCATGGGAACGGGTTCGAACACCTCTGGAGCATCAAATCATACTCACCCTCCACAATCATATTATAGAGGATGATGCGTGTCATCAAAATGTTCCGAAGCCCCTCCTCGTCAAACATACGATCAACACCCCTAATGATTGCCCACCGAGCTTAGAGGATACCAAAACACCTTTCCACATCTTTCCTGTAACCCTCTTGATAGGCAGTAAATAATTTTTCCTTCTCCGATCGGGGATGCGGAATTATTTTGACAAATGTCGTTTACCTTGGATAGATGCCATCTACTAGGTAGTACTTACCCCAGTAGACGGTATTGTTGAATTCGTAGGAGATATGAGGGGCTTGACCTCTCAACACATCGTTGAATACCGAGGATTGACCCAGCACGTTTAGGTCGTTTTGAAATCCGATAACTCCGAAAAAGGCATGGCAAACCCATGTATCGAATGAAGCAATGGCTTCTAGAATGATACTTTTTTTCCCTTTCCTATTCCCATAATCTCCTTGACAGGCACTTGGGCAATTCTTCTATTACCAGTGCATACAGTCGATGCTTCCAATCATGCCTAAAAAACCAAGAGTTTCGGCTTTTTGTATAAGCTTTTAGAGGTTCCTAGGTTAGCACTGGCAATGGGTCGTGTCGTGTCGGGTTCGTGTCGTGTCGAACTCTTAAACGTGTCAAGAAACCTCAACTCGTACACGACCCGTTTACTAATTGTGTCAAGAACTGCAAACCCAAAATGTGTTGTCCACGTGTTAGTCTTGAAAATTCGCTGCACATGCGGGGGCGTGTGAGAATGTGAAGGTAAGGAGTCCCACATTGGAAAGTTGAGAAACCTAGCAAGGGCTTATAAGGAGTTGAGTTAATCAACACAAGTATGCTAGAGATCTCATCAAAAAGGCGTCTGTGGATACATGTAGGCTTTGTAGCACTCCTTCTAAATCACATTATCAAGTCCTAACGGACGAAAGTATCCCTCTTTTTGATCCTAGATCCTTCCCGCTGTCAAAGTCTTGGGGGTGCTCTACAATCCGTGACGTTCACAAGACTAGACATTGCTTTTGCTGTTAACAAAGTCTGTCAATTTATGCACAGTCCCACAGATGTTCACTTTGGTCTTGTTAAACGAATCCCCAGATATTTGCAAGGAACATTGCAGTTTGGTGTCACGTTTTCTCCAGGGACCATGGTCTTATCTAGATATTGTGACGCAGATTGGGCTGGTGATCACAATACACGTAGGTCCACTACTGGTTATGTTGTGTTTCTTGGTTCCAATCCAATCTCTTGGACCTCCAAGAAGTAAGCTTCTGTCTCCCGTAGCTCTACATAAGCTGAATATCGAGCGCTTGCACACTGTGCTGCGGAAATCTCATGGTTTAGCACATGTGTATTACTATATTTTAATCATATATACTAATTCCAAATTGAATTTACTTTTTGGAATTGGTTTATATTCTAAATGTTATAGATGTTAATCATGTGTTGGTATTAGGCTTTGTATTCTTCTGAGCAGTACCATTTGTGTTGCAAGTATTACTTCATAGTTTACAAACTTGTGCGGTACCACATTTGCCAAATTCACGGTGTTTGGACAGTTTGTTATGTATGGCATAAATACTATTTTCGTAGGTTTATAAATGACTCTTAAATATTAACCCTTAATATTTCCTCTCCTTACTTTTGTATATTCCTAAAATGATTACCATTGTCTTCAGAGATCTCCAGAAGACAAATATCTTACACAACCACTGCTGAGGTATGCCCATGTTTCGTGACAAGTTCTTATGTCTTTCATAGCGGTTGCATTTAGTCGATATTATTATTAATTTGGTACTAATGCAAAAGCTACCCCACCCTCATCTCACCCCCAACCCCCCTCCCCCCCAAAACCCCAACACACACACACACACATATATACGTCTTACTGCCTAAGAAGAAAGTTCATAATCATTTTAATCTTAATCGATGTGGGCTTTTGTTTGTGTACTGGCACACTTGTAACAACCCAATCCTAAATTAATAGTTAATTATTAATCTATTCCAGTAAAAGACAATTATACCCTTAGAATATTTTAGTGGTTTAAAAATTGACTTTTTGACTGGGAAGGAATTTGGGGGTTTCAGTTATACCGTTGCGTAGAGTGCGACGAAACGAGTTCGTACACATGCGGCACACTCGATTCCGAGTTGTAACGAAGGAGGAAAGGTCTAGAAACAAAAAGGATGTTTTGGGAATTTTCATATTTGTTACTGTAGCAACAGTGCCGCTACAGTAATCGGGTTCTATTTATTTTTCCTCCCCCTCTGGTTCGAGCAGCCCCTCCCTTTCCCTCCTGTTACTATTCATCAGCATGGTTTTTGAGCCACCACAGTTGCATCCGACCACCGTTTGGGGTGGCACTGTTAGGAACCAACCCCTCCTTTGGGCCACAGCTTTAGCCCAAGAGACCATTTAGATATTTTCCCAAATAAGATATTTTACTTTTTCCCTTGTATTCAGGAGTTGGTTAGTTTCTCCCTCAACCGATTGCCAGTTGGCAATCGAAGCTAGCTGTATACAACACCAACCTGCTTGGTGTAGAAGGCATGAATGAATTATAGTTGATTTCCTTTCTTTTTCTTCCTTCTATTTTGCTGCGTTTCTCTTTCAGGTCCAAGGTCCCAACAGGCACCGGTCCGAAACGAACCGGCTTGACGCCCTCTTCCTACCCCACCCCTCCTCCGTCGTTAACAGCAACACCAGTCGCCGGAAACAGCCCGAGAATAGCCGATTTCTAACAGAACTTTGGAGCTCTCGCTCTTCGTCATTCGGCCACCAAATCAGTCGAGTGAGGTTTGGTTTTCTAGCTATTTTCCATGCTCTAGCTGCTGGTTGGATAGGATTTCAGGAATTCCAAGCGTAAACACTTCGATTTCCAAGTTAGGTTTCAGCCGGTTTTGTGGGTGCAATTCCGGCCACTTCTGGCCAGTTTTTGGGGTAGGTCCAAAACAAAAGTGGCTCCAAATAGGGTGTTACACCTAGGGTAGGAGTCTTGAACCGTGAGTTTTTCCGGCTAAGCGTTATCGCTTTAGGCACCACACGCTGCCAGCGCGTGTGGCGGGGCGCGGACAGCAGGGTGGGGGCCACAATCAGCTCTAGAGTAATCCCTTAGTCCACACAAGCGCGTAGGATTTCGCGGATCTTAATTCAGATAACATTTGAACCCCGAACGGATCTCGCATATTGTGCGATTTCCGGGTTCAATACGTTTGAACCGTTGGATCGCAGTCAATTTCAAGTATGTTGATCTAGGTAATTCCAGGAGCGTATAGTATTTGACAGATCGTAAAACGGAGTCCCGGTTACTCCAGGAATGTTAGCCCTAGAGCGAGGTTTACAATAAACAAACCAGTTGTAGATCAGGAATAGAGGAAAGAACTACGTGTGGCTTGATCCCTCAGTAAGGGTATGTATGCAGCCTACAGTTATCAAGTGCAGCCACGAGTTAGGGCCTTAGAGTTTGTGTTATTGTTTTTCAGGGCATTTTGGTCTTTTACAACTCACAGCCACCAGGTGTTAGTTTTAAACAGGTTTTGATCCGGATTCCAAAGTGGAAATTGGGTCAGGTCGTTTCAACACTAGTCCCCTTTTTTTTTCCTTTTTCGGGGTGGGGAGAGATGGTGATGCTTGAATTGAGTTGTTTGTATCGCCAAACCAAGGCATTACTCTATATGTGTCCTTGTTGTAGGATATTAGAAGGGAGCTAGGCATATCAGTAATTCGTGAAGAAAGAGTGCAATTGCAAAAGGTAGCTGTGGTTTTTAGTTTTCATTTAAGGTGTGGTATTTGTTTGGGAATCTACTTGTAATTTTTCTATACTATTTTTCCTCTTAATAGACAGATGCTAAAACATGTGAAAAATGTGGCCACAATGAGCATACATATTATTCCAGACAGGTATTCTACAAACGCCCAATCATCTTCTTCTGCCTCTTATTTTTCCTGTCATCTAATTATCTTCTATGTTGCCTTGTTTTCTTTCTTTAATATCTTTTTGTATAGATGCGATCAACAGATGAAGGAGCAACTACTTTCTATGTGTGCACCAATTGCCAGCACCAGTTTACTGAGAATTGATATGTTAGAGGTTATATAACATACTAAGAGGATCAAAATGTATGCGTTATGTCACTAACAAAAAGCGTGTTCGTAATTGAGTGTGGTGTAGACATGTAGGATATTTAAGATTTCTCTGATATCAAATTTTGAAGCTGTACTGTACCTAGGATTAGAATAGAGTGAGTCAAGAATCTTTATATCCTATTTTTGCACCAAATGTTAATTGCAAATTGTTTTCCTTGTGTGCTTTCCCTTCTGCCATGAAAGGAACGAGCTTGCCAAAGTGAAAAGAGCTTGTTTGCAGCATGATATCCTAACATATTAAGCAAAGTGATGGACTGTTTGTTACAGTGCCGGTCCTGAGTTTTCAAAGGCCCAGGGCGAAATTCTACAGTGTGCGCTACACACATTAATCACTAACACTAACACTAGTATACTTTTTTTAGACAGTATTTATTTCATTGGTTTATCAATTGTTTTATCAACTAAGCATTAGTTTTTTCGAGAAAGTATTTATTCCAAGATATTTTTAGACTTTGAGCAATGTCTTTCATATTCCTAAACAATGAAAACAAATGTCTAACTATAGATACCAGTGAGTCAAAGAATTTCAAGAATTTTTACCAAAAAAAAAAAAAAAAGAATTTCAAGAATGCAAGTCAAGCCAATATCAAAGAATTTCTTTTAAAACTCTCATCATGGATCCTTTTTCCAAAATTTCAGATCCATTTCAATATCCTATTCCTAAATTATGAAAAACAATGTGTATTTAATTTTGATTAACTTACAAGAAAAATCGAAAAAAAGAAAAAAAGGAAATCATCCATGTTATTTTCGCAGAAGAACAATTCCAACAATAAAGCAAGGTTTCTATTTGAAAAGAAAACCCCAGAATAGTACATCTATTAGTGATTCAAAGAAGTTGAATGAATCAATCCAAAAAAAGCCATGATTTAAATGACTTAGAAGAGAAATCGATAGAGAAAAAGACGATAGGAAAAAAAAAAAAAAAAAAGCAAATCACCCATGGTTAATTTTTGCAGAGGACGAAACTGAAGAGTGAAACATAAATGAACTTACCATCATTGGCGTCAGGGAGAAATTCAGTAAGAGTTCTTGTGAAAAATCTGATTGGGAGGAGGTAGGATAGGAGGTCTAAGAAAAGATGTGAAAAATCTACAAACTAATTAAATTTAAAAAAATCATATTTTCTTTTTCATTTGATATCAAAACAAACAAGGACCAATTTTTCACTAAACAAAAGCCCACACTTTGGATTTTGGTATCTCCCCAATCTACCAACAGAAAAATTAATTTAGGGATTCATAACTCTGGAACTATTAGGAGAGGAGAGGCTTAGATGAGATGAGATGAGATGAGTGTTAGAATTCTTAGTTTGTATATGTATTTTCAGATTAGGAAGAGATGTATTTTCTGGAGATTTCAGCTAGAGAGAATGAAGAGAAATGAGGAAGGCACTGTTCTATTGAATTCTTACAATCTGCAGCTTACATAGTGTGTCTGACAGAGAGAGAAATGTGATTCTCTTCTAACAGAATTACAACTGTCACCCTATTAGGTGCTTACACGTGTCATACCAAATCTAAGCTAGAGAATCCACCTAGACTATGATCTAATGGTTCTCATTACATCATTTAAAATAGACAGAACAGAAAATAGAAAATGACTTCTGCCTAAGAAATCAGGCAGAACATGACTTCTGCTCTAAGAAATCAGGCAGAACAGGATTATATTTCAACATACACAACCTATATTAGGCTATAATTACTTCTTGCATTATAAGGTAAGTACATATAAACCTAGAAGATGCAGAATTATCTTAATGATAGCAGAAAACTAAAATTGTTTCATCACTTACTTTAAATGATGCTCATTAATGATCGTGTAATAACTGTTCATTAAGTTTATTGCAAGTGAAAATAGCTTAACGGTTAAAGTTGAATTTACATGTCCAATGCAGATGCAAAGCTAGCTGACAATTACGTTATGGATTTTACACCTGTGATTGATAAATCTTGCAACATTTCCATAAATTGTAGCATCCAAGTCAGCTCCTACCCCCTCTTACCAAGTCAGCTTCTCCCTGGCATCAACCTTCCTTCTTGTGAAAAGGGCAATCTGCATGAAATAAATAAAAGAAATCATATTTACTTGTATAAAGAATTGGTTCGACTAGTAGTACGAAGAAGATCGAAGGGATGAGATCATTGAATGCTGAAAAATCATACATGATAGTAGTGATGATCTGGGTTCTCCACTTCCACCGGGATCTCTACCAAGGTAGCATCAGAACATCTGACCAATAAATGTAAAACGTTTCAGTCGAAGATTTTAGCAACAACAAAAAAGTATTCAAGGAGAGGAGCAAATTAGCCTGCTCTCATCAATCAAGATATCGAAGAACACAAACCATTCCGGCACAGAATGACATTGAGACAGCTTCAATAAGAAACATGGCTCTTAATATA